CCCCCCCGGATTCCCAGCTGAGTCCACACTGCCCCCTCCCCTTCTCTCACAAGCCACTTTGTTTGCGCCAACTTCCCTTCACAAGCAAGACGAGGCCAACGGCATATGTGGGAATTTGCACAGGGAATATTTCATGGCTCCTCAAGTCCGGGGAGTCGGCTGTCATCTAGTCTGACCTCCTGCGTGGCACAGCCCATAAGCCTCCCCCCATCATACATTGCTGTTTGAAACCCAGCCCGGCCCTGACAAAGAGATCCAGCCTTCAGCGCCACGATTTGCAATTTGGGGTGGGGGAGGAGAGGGCAGAATAAGGCACGTTGTGTTGTGGGATTTTTTTTCTTTCGTTGTGTTTGGCTTGTAGTCTGCCAAACTGAAGAGTCGGTGGCAGCACAGCACAATTGCAAGGCGTTTTCCTTTTGGGGAGACGCGTTCCTACAAGATCCCTCATTAGCCTGTCCTGTAATGAGGCATTTGGGGTGGGATGCGGGGGCAGCCCCGGGGCCGAAGAGTTTGCTATTTGAATGTCACTGAGAGCGCATCGAAGCGAACAGCTGAACCGTTTGTCAGCCCCTCACAGCTACCGATTTGCCTACTTCACTCATGATTTTAACTTAATCCTGCACCCCCCCCCCCCCACCCCCAGCCGTCAGGCGCAGGAGCTTTGGTTACTGAACACTGCAGCTGCCTGCCCCACCCGTTTGGAGGAACAAACCCAGAGTTGAAAATAAGAAAGGCCACTGGTCCACCTAGCCCAGTGTCCTACTGTCAGTGACCAGAACAGGTATGTCAAGTGAGCCCTCCCCTTTCACCCATTCCCAGCCCTGACAGGGGCCAGGGACCCAAGTGATAGATGACGTGCAAAGAGTTACTGAACACTGCAGCTGCCTGCCCCACCCGTTTGGAGGAACAAACCCAGAGTTGAAAATAAGAAAGGCCACTGGTCCACCTAGCCCAGTGTCCTACTGTCAGTGACCAGAACAGGTATGTCAAGTGAGCCCTCCCCTTTCACCCATTCCCAGCCCTGACAGGGGCCAGGGACCCAAGTGATAGATGACGTGCAAAGAGCAGAGCCATCTACCATTAGTTTTTTTAAATCTATATTTCCCCCCTTCTTGGTGTAAGTATCAAGTTGTTTGCAGTCAGCTGTTCTCTCTCTCTCTCTCACACACACACACACACTTGTAAGTTGCACTCAGACAGTTTCATCAGATTCATGAATGTTTTACACACCTGGCAGGTTGCAGAGAAGTGCATAAGAGTTATAATGAAACACCACTACCCCCTACACCCACCCCTCTCCCCCTTGTAGGCTGCAATCAGAGCGGCTCGTCAGGTTTCTAAACCCCATTGTTGCATGGCGCTCAAACAATGGGCTGGGTTGCTACTGTTTGACCCGGGTCGCGTTGGGGCTCGGAGCGAGCGCAGCGCGTTTGCAGGAATTAGCGATTGTTGTGTCTGTCTGAGGGCCACGCGAGAGACACGCGAATCCCTCAGCCCGCTCCCCCCTCCCCCGGCCCAGCGCCTTCTATTCACCTTCCCTTCTCCCCCGCCGCCCCCCCGCCCCGCTCCCTTTCCTCAGCAGATTAGCATAAAGCTGCTATGGATCTCCCGTTTAAATAATTACACACAAAAGAATACTACATGAAAGCGAGAGAAAACAAGAAAGAGCCCACGAGTCTGTTCCATTTCACCCAGCTACCAGAAGAAAAAGACCTGAAGTATTTTCCATTGCTTAAGTTTCAAGTATCCCCAATGGCAATCTGCTCCCATTATTCGGCTTTTTTGGGGAGGGGGTAGTTGGGGGGGGGGGGGAAGAGAGTGGCTCTTTTATTACGCAAAGGATATTGGGTAGCAGGGGTTTTTCTTTTTAGA